TATGAAAATATCATTCAAAATTTTAACTAATAATTTTTAAAAAATTGTTTTTTATTTATTTTAATATTATTTTCGAATCCGCGGATATCCTGTTTTTGGTCCAGAAGCCACGGATTCGGATTCGGATCCATATACTTTTACTACTGATCCAGATCCGGATATGTATATTACATAACAGATATGTTACTCTCTATATATTAAAGTAGATGGCGAATTAAAACAAAGAATTCGCCTTCTTCCTCAGTTATTCTCGAGAGAGAGAATCATCTTTGATAAACCAACAAAAGGAATAAACAAAGTTTCTCACCTACCTTGGCAAGGTTGGTCCCTAAATTTACGCTTTCGATTTTCGCTTTTATTTAAGTGAAAACCTAAATTTATGAAATTATTTCTATCAACTGTCGGAGTGGATATCAGAGCCGTATGTGAGAAGTGAGCATCTGTTTGATATCGTAAGAGAGACCGACATGACTCTATTCATGGAAATCCGGTTCAGCTGTCTAGAGCTAACAATCTATGTAACCATCCATGTGGAGGCTGTAGCAACCTACCAGTTCCAGTGTAGGCAAACTTTCAATGTTGTCGGGACATCTTAACTCCCTGAAAGCCCAACTCTGACAAACAGTATTCGTAGCCGTTCTTATTAACACGGTACATACGTTTTTTATTATAAAAAAAATTCTTAATAGGTCCGACACGGTTACTTTATTTGTTCAACATTTTTTGTCTATCTACAGTACGTACTAATAACAGAAAGAAGTATTGACGAAACTCAAAGTGTACTAGAAGAGGTTTTTACCGAGAAAGAGATGCTCGTGCTGCACATGGTGCATCTAGAGATGGTTTACAAAAACCCACCATTTGGGTGAGAATGTGGCTCCAAACATGGTGTGCAACGATTCTCCGACAGAAAATGAGATCATTGTACTAGACGGTGATGAAGATACAAATCCAAAGAAAAATTATGTCGGGAAGGATGCTAACACAGATAATTTTCCCTGTTTTGGTAAGCTGTGTAAATAGCTGTCAATATAATAATGTTATGTCCTCGTCGAGAGATAGATGTTATTTTGCATTTGTAGCTAATTTTGTTATCCAAATTAGTTGTAGAAATGTAGTATTTGTTATGTGGAAAAACTACAAATTCTTACCTTAACAGTGCTACGCGATCTCATTCTTTTGTATGAATTGAATACATACATGTGCTTCAAATATATTTAAAATTCAGACCCAAACTTTGGTATTTTGGTTTAGTCATTCTTTGACCGTAATTCTGTAAG